TGACCACCCCATTGGCCACCCCTCTGACCACCCCATTGGCCACCCCTCTGACCACCCCATTGGCCACCCCATTGGCCACCCCACTGGCCACCCCACTGGCCCCCCTATGGAACATGTCTGGAGGCGCCACTGCCCTTGAGTAAAGCTGCTCCACCCTCCTCTGACTCCATATGTGTGTCATGGATAATTACGTCCCTGTTTTCTTATTATTCAGACTGACAGCGTTTAAAGGGAGGAATTTCCTGCCGTAGAAAAGGTCTCTGTTTCCACAGACTCTGCTGGGAAGGTGACTCACAGCCTCAGATGTGTGAACGTCTTTTCTAACAGCTCAGCTAGAAGTAGCAGCTGGGTGAGGAAGTCTGGAAGAGGGGCCTACCTGTTGCTGAGGCTCCCTCGGTGCCGCGCTCGTTCACCTCCATCTTCACCTTCTGCAGAACCTTGGATACACACAGCCTCTCGTCGGCTGGCGGGCGGAGAAACAAACGGATTAGTTTCAGAGACATAGACAGGTATGGGGCATTGCAGGCTAACAAAGAAGCCAAACGACCCCCATTCCAAAGGGGGGGACCCGTTCATCCGTTTCTATTTGCATGTTTTCTAAACTAAAAGCAGGCTTTGTTGGGCTGCTGGATAAAACCTGGAACTAAACGCTATTTCTGACAAAAAGTAGGAATAAAAATTTTTTTTTGGACAAGACTAAAGGGATACATGCCCTTTGAGGTAGCTTACAATGTATTTAGAGAAGGTCTACAGCCATCTACAAAACGCTTCCTGTTCAAAGACCTAATGTCTTAGGTCTTGGATGCAGCGGTTTGGTGGAGCAGAAGTAATGTGAAGAAAGATGCCTACTAATAACTTGTCCTTGGCTGACCCATAAAAAAGTGCAATCGTTAAACCTGCACTAAAAGCAAGCTACAAGCTGCAGACAAGCTAATACTTCAAACTCACAGGTTATCCGTGTGAAGTCAGCAGTAGCCAAGTTGAAAATCTCTCCGAGTCCCATTTTCCGCAGAGTGCTCTTCAAATCCACCTCAGAGTTCAGAGAAAACCTGGAAAAGCAGATCAGAAATGCTCCAGTTTACTGTGATTTTCCAGCAGGCGCTGACTGGGCAGCCGTTCCTCCTCACCTCGGCATGGCCAGCTGCCTCCTGACGTTCCTCAGCTCCGACCTCCACTGCCGAACCCTCTGGCTGCTCAGGTCGGCGCTCAGGACGCTCAGCGGGACGTCGGGCTCAAAGGGCGAAACCAGGAGCATGCTCAGCGAGTCGCCCTCATACGGGACCTCTATCACATCGTAATCCACGCCATCCGCTGTCACAAACTCGCCTGTTGATGTCAAAGAAGGAAAATAACGGGGTGAGAAGGACGTAGAGGGTTTCTATGCAGAGTTTGGGCCGCCGGCGCCGCGTACCGTAGTTGAAGTTGTTGGTGAGCCTCATCATGTGAACAGGAACTGAACTCCCATTGGCGCAGTGGAACATCCTCTCCTGCGTCAGTTTGGGATCGAAGGGAACTTTCCACAGACGCTGGAAGTGCAGCGCGTTGAGGAAGACCAGGCGGGTCTCATCATCCAGGGCTCCGGGCGCTAAGAACGCTGGGATGGCTCCTGCAGAAAGAACAGCTGAGTGATATACAACTCAGGAGGAACCCTAACCTAAGCACCATCATGAACACACTCAGGAAGTGCTACATGTTTTACTGGGGGAGTGGCGGCCTAGTGGATAGGGCACTGCGCTGGGCAATGCCCTAACCGCTGGGCATCACCCACTCTGGGTCATGGCAGCCCACTGCTCCCCAAGGGGAGGGGTTAAATGCAGAGTTTTTTTCGTTCCTCTGTACCTGTGACCTTGGCCCCATTTACTCTCCCCTTTAGAAACAGTCTGAGCACGCTAACCGAGCTAACTGTTGAGTGTAATTGGCACGCATACTGAACCGGACTGCGCCAGACACAACCGAACCGTGCTAATCGGCTAGTCGTTGCCTGTGTAACTCTAGTATTTGCTAATCTAATTATTGTGTTTCTACAGAAGAAGCCATTATAAATGGCCCTTCCCTGTCAAAAGCAGCCGAATGGCAGCAAAATCCCCTCCAACTTTCAGCCACTGGCCTTCTCACAGGCGTCCATTCGTTTTTACTCTGACTCTGACCTTTCACTGAATTACAGGGTCTGACCAGGAGATGGCGCTACTCTTTAGGCCTTAATGTCCACAAATCATGAGA